ACTGCTCTGCAAGTCTTGACAAGAACAAGTTACGCAATCGCCTCCACTCTTCAAAATAGATAATATTTTCATCATCTTAGAGAGCCCCCTCAGAAGCCTGAGAATCTCCGCCTCAGCCAGGTGACCAAGGTCAACATCCACGGTGCCAAGTCCTGCCGATCAGATGGCACTGCAGGTCTGGGGTCTTCCCCCACAAAGCAGAACCCCCGTCAAAGCAGGAGAAAAACACGAGATGGATCCCAGTTGAGGGACACTCTACAAAACACTTGGCCAGCCCTCCTCACAACTGTCCAGGTCAACAGAAACGAAAATGGGTTGATGGGTTGATCACCAATGGATCGATCCCTTGGTGAGATCAGAGCCCTGTGATCCAAGGTCTCCCCAGAGCTTCACCTCCGAACATTGCTGCACTGGGCACCAGCCCTTCAATCGTGAGCCTCTGGGGGGCGCTGCAGATCCAAACCAGAACATCTTCCTGCTGACAATAACTGGAGCTAAGAAAAAAGACTCTAAGATCACCTCTCTGAAGGTTCGGAGGCAGTTACGCATCAGGAACGATGAGGACAACATAAAATGAGACAGTAACAGGTGTCGACAAGAACGTGGAGAAACCGAAACCCCTGGACATTGCCGGTGGTCAGATAACACGACGCAGCTGTTTCGGAAAACAGTTCGACATTTCTTCAAAAAATTAGAGAGTTCCCCTCTGACTCAGGGTCTCCACTTCCAGGTGGGTACCTTAGAGAATTAATGCCATAGATCCCCACAAAAGGCTGGTCATTCCTCTTCATAGCAGCGTTGTTCATGATAGCCAGAGTAGAAGCCATTCACAGGGCCACCAGCAGGTGAGTAGACCAGCCCAACCTGGTGCGGTCACAGTGCAATATTCTGCATCCACAGGAAGGAGTGAAAGTCGGATGCACCTACAACCTCGATGAGCCGGAAACAGGAAGCTAAATGAAAGTAGGCAGGAAGAAAAGGATCGATCTTATGCCTGATTCCACATGCATGTAAAATCCAGGGGCAAATCAGAAGAGGTGTCAGAAAAAAAGACTCCTTAATGCAGTGACCAAAACTAGGGGTATCTGGGCGCGGTGGCGCACACCTGTCATCCCAGTGGCTCAGGACGCTGAGGCAGGAGGATCACGAGTTCAAAGCCGGCCTCAGCCATGGCAAGGCGCTAAGCAACTCAGTGAGACCGTCTCTAAATCGTACAAAAATAAGGCTGGGAATGTGGCTTGGTGGCTGAGTGCCCCTGAGTTCAATTCCTAGTACCCCGTCCCCCCAAAAAATTAGGGGTAAATACAATAGACTTTTCTTCTCCTCTTGAATTTTGCAAACTATGAAAATTGAAGCAAAATTGTCCCCCTGTCCGATGTGTCGTAAATGTGTGGGGAGGGAATAGTTAAGGACAAACTTCCAGGAGGACTGAGACAGTTGACCTAAGCGTCCCATCTGCCAACCTCACCACACTGGTGACCAAGCTCCAGCACATGACCCTTCGGGGACACACTTAAACTGCCTACCACCCACAGGACCAGTGTCCACCCACATCTTAAGCCCCCAGATGGACGGGGACTTAAGATCTTTCTGTCCCATCACAAATGGAATTTTCATTGGACACGGATGATTCTTCCCTACTTCTATCGTTTTCTGCGCCCCCACTCCTTCCTGCCTCTCAGGCTGGCCGTCCGGGATCTTTTTGCATCTTTTTGAAGTTTCTTTGGATCCTTTTCCGCTTTTATTTACCTGCAAGTGTGAAAAGAAACGGATCTCGGTCCTTTGGTCTCTGTTCTTGAAAGGGTCCTTGGCAGGACGTCACTGTGAGCCACATTGGCTGGGTCTCCCCCCTTTGGCGATATGATGCCCACCTCCGCATCTCTGTCGGGCTGTTGGGAAGGCGCCTGGCGCTCTGTCCCCGTCGCAGACAACCTGTCGTTTCTCGGAGACGGCTTTCATCCCTCCTCCGCCTTTGGCACTCCGTGGTCTCAATGAAACGCAGGTGCAGGATGGATTGCGGTGTGTTGTGCTTGGGGGACTGGGCATTTCCTGGCTCTGTGGCTCTGTTTTCCAACACTCCTAGAAAAGGTGCTGCCATTTTATCTTCAAATAGTACCTCTTGGTTATTCCCTTTATTCTCTTCTTCTGAGACTCGACAGAGAAGGTCCCCTATCCCGTCCCCGGCTGCTCTCAGCCTCTCTGGATATTACCCACCTTCCTATCTCTCTTGTGGCATTTTTTATCAATGACTTCCCGCTCACTGATTCTCCATTCAACCGTTATTGCTGTTTGAGTTTTAGGTTTTGAAATCATGGTTTTCATTTCTAGATTTCCATTTCCCCCCATCTCTCTCTTCATTCCTCCTTGTTTTCTATGCTCATCTTTAAAATTCCATCTGTTCTTCTCTCCCCCCTCCCCCCTCCCACCCCTTTCTACATCCCGGGTGTTGAACCCAGAGCCTCACACGCGCCCGGCCAGCAGTCTGTCCCCGAGCCACACCCCAGCCCGTTTCCCTTTTTTCACTTTGATTTTGAGACAGGTTCTCACTCAGTAGCCCAGGTTGGCCTCCAACTTGAGATCCTCCTGCCTCAGCCTCCTGAGTAGCTGGGATTGCAGGCATGCATCACCACACGCAGCTTGTTTTATCTCTTCAGCCTTCTCCTGCGTGGCTGCTCACTGCTCTGTGGCTGGGTCCAACTCTGTTGCTTCTTTTGTCCCCGCTGACGCTCACTCATGGTGGCTTGTCTTCTTGTGATTCGGAAAGTCACCCCATTGTTTGATCTCACTCTCTGGGCATCCTCCTGGCCTAACCTAACCGAATTCCCCTCCACGTTGCGTTTGCTTCTAGGGCACCCCAACCCAGGACCGTGCCGTCACCTTCGGGAGTTTGATCTCACCTGAAAGCGGCTCCCCCGACCCTTCTCCCCCCCACCCCCAGCTCTCCCAAAGTTCACTATCAGCACATGGAAAGATTGCTGCAAGGACTCCGGCCTTGGGCCAGCTCACTGAGCCTCTCCTGCACCCCCAAATCCAGCACCCCTCCATTTACTCCTCAGTATCCCTCTGCCAAAACCTGGCTTCCTGTTCCTTGGAGCACAGCCCAAGTTCCCACCTGTCAGATCTTTTATGGAAGTGTTGAATGGCCTCTGATGTGGCGCCCACACACACTAGAATGTGGCGACTGGTTATTTATACATCCCTAGCAACCAGCGCAGCGCCCAAAATAAAAGCGTGTAACAATTATGCGGCGGCTGAATGAGCAAATGAGACCGCACCTGTCTCCACTGTGCTCTCCATCTGACACGGAGACAGACAGGGACAGTTGTCACACAGGGAGACAACGTCTGTCACAGAGGAGGGGCGTCGGGAGGCGATCCTACTGCAGATTTGGAGGTCAGGGACGAGGCCCTGTCCGGTCTGGAGGGCACAGGGATGTGCAGCGCTGAGACCTTTAAGGACATGTCACCGCGGAGCCCCAGTGAGGTCGAAGGGAGAGCATTCGGCCCCAGGCCGGCCCCCCAGGAGAAGGCAGCAGTCCAGGGAACCAAAAGCAGTGTCAGCGTGGCAGGATCCAGGGGGTGAGGAAGGCAGGAGGGAGGTGGGCTCCAGGCTGGGCACAGGCAGGACCTGGGACCTTCAAGCTCCCAAGGACAGTCTGGCAGCATGGATGAGAGGGTATGGCAGGGCATCTTTGAGCAGGGGAGGGACATGGTCAGGCTGCAGCGTGGAAAATGCCCTCTGGCTACTGGGTAAAGTCTGAACTGGGAACAAGGAGGCAGGGAGGCCCGGGAAGAGGCTGGTTCCGAGCAGGGCTGATAGCCGGGTGGGCGCACCCCAACGCAGAACCCTTGGGGTTCCTGGTGATGGCCTGGGCTGACCATAGACACACGGAAACCACGAGTTGAGTGGGCTGCGTGTGAGGGGCTCTCTGTGGGGCCGAGGGGCTGCCCGTGGGTGGATCTGAAGGGTAAGGAGTCCACGCCTCGGATCTCCGAGCAGTGCTCTCTTCAACTAGGGTTGCCAGTTTTAGCAAAAATTAAAAATAGCTATATAGGACACACACAGCTAAATTTGAATTTCAGATAGACTGAGACTATTTTAGAGTCAGTGTGTCTCCAGAACTACGTCCCTGTACCTTACCCGGCAGCCCCACCCTCAACACCCGCCACGTGTCTCCCTGAGACACCAGGAACAAAGCAACCCAGAAGCGTGCGGCCCCCCTGCTGTCCTTCGGAGGCCCTGGCCCTGAACAGGGGCCTCCCTCCAGCCTCCACCATCTTCCCGCCTCTCGGGGCTGGGAGTGAGGGGAGGGCGGGGTGGCACTGCAGTCTCCTCAGCTCCTGTCCCCACACCCCACTGGGGTATTTCCAGGAAGCGGTCCCTGCCCAGAGCCTAGACCCCAACACGGCTCAAGGCCACCAGCTTGGGACCACTTCCTGCAACCTCCAAACCCACCAGCGTTGCCAGGGCCACACGCTCAGGTAGGTCCAGGCTGCTGGGGTCGGAGAGGCCAGGCTCTGGGCTGGGTGGGTGCCGCCTTCCACGGGCCCAGTTCACAGAGCTGCCCATCCAGCCACGGCCCAGGTCACCTCTGCCTGGAGCTGCCCACCTTCCCATGGTCCCCCAGCACCCACGTCAGCAGGGGACCTGCGAGGCCTGGAGGACCTGCTAGGGTGTGTGGCCGGGCCAGGGGCCCCGGGGAGCTCTGACGGGGACTTCCATCACCCTGACGAGGGGGGCTGCTCTGCCTGGGTTCAGAGCAGCGTTGTCCTAGAAGACGTGATAAATGAGCCACCAGAGGACTGGGGCATTGAGGACGTGGGGGGACAGGGTGCAGCCGAGGGGCAGCACTAGCAGTGAGTGTTCCTAGAACAGAAGCCAGAAAGGCTGGAGCAGAGGCCCCGAGGGGAAGGGAGGGTGGAGGGGCCTGAGAAGGGGCCGAGAGGCTGGGAGACCTGGGCCTGCGGCTCAGCCGACACCGGTCACACCAACAACCCAACTAGAGCCCGCAGCACCTCCCTGAGGACCGAGCCTCTTTATAGGGACTCTTTTGCTGAATCTCCAGAGCAGGTCCCGCCATTGTCCCATTGTACAGAGGGGGAAAGGAAGGCCCAGTCTGAGTGACTTGTCCACAGTCTCAGCCAGGAGCGGCCCTGGGCCTGGACCACTCACTCGCCAGCTAGCGAGGAGCTGTTCGCCTCCAGAGATGTGCAGAGGGGAAGAGGAGACCCTGGGAGAACAAGGACCCGCTCCAGTTCCCTGGCCCAAGGTCACAAAGTCTGTTGATGGCCTGGGGCAGAGCCCTAAGAGTCCATCCGGGCCAGCTGCTCTAGTGCCAGGATGCCTGGGGCACAAGCCCCCCAAAGTGACCTCGCACTGCTGTCCTGGGGTCTCCTCCTGCAGTCACTCCACAGGCACAGTCCTGGAGGGACCCCTCTCTCCAGCGGGCACTTGGGGTCCACAGGTGACGGCTGCGTTTCCAGGGGCAGCCTTGGCACTAATGCCTCGGTTCACAGGCCAAGAGCGCCGCCTGGTGTCTATCCCGGGAAAAGCACCGGCTTCGAGAGTGTTGTCTCCTGACAGACGGGTCTAAGGCCACCGTGGCCACCAGAGCTTGGAGTTTAGAACCCACACCCTCATGCCCACCAGGGGAAACTCAGTCTTCCCCTGACACCTAACTCAGAGGCTCAACCAACTGGAGGGAGAAGCTTCCCCGGCCCAAAGCCAGGGAAGGCCTGTGGCCTTGGTGGCTGACCTGAAGGGACTGTGGGGGTCTTGGAAGCACGGGAGGAGGATGCCCTGGAGAGGACTGGACCGCCCCATCTTTGGGAAGGATGGGCTCTGAGTTGGATGTTATCATTTTGGGGGTGGAAGGAAACGTGGCCTTCCTTGGGCGCAGGCTGGTGAGGGCTGGGGTGGGGCCCTGAGGGCTGGCAGGGGCCGCGGGTCAGGTGAAGCCCGATCCTCCCCAGGAGGAAGGTAGGGACCCACTCCAGAAGGCAGTGGAGGCCACAGCGGGAGGCCAGGAGGGAATGCCACCCCACTGACATTCTTCTCCCCTGGTGTTCAGTCTTCACACAGCTCCCGGTCAGCCACTTGTCCCCACGTCACCGATGTGGAAACCGAGGGTCCGTGATAGGCCCCAGATCGCTCGGCAGGACTCAGAGCCAGGCCTCCTGGCTCCCAGGCCCGAGCTCTGCCGACAGGCCAGGCCAGCTGGCTGACCCCGGCCCACGGCGCCCTCTGTGCCTGGGGAGGCGGTGGAGGTACCAAGGCCCAGGAGGCACCGGGGCCTCGGTGTCCTGCAGCAGGCCTGCCACCGTCTCTGGTAGGAGCCAGGGCCTTGGGCCGCAGGCGGTGCCGGGTCACTGCGTCATCTGGGAGGAGCTGAAGGCCTCCATCTCTGCCTTGGCCTCCGCCTCCGAGTGGCACCTCTGGAAGAACAACCACAGGAAGAGGAAGAAACCTGCAAGAAAGGACCGGTCAGTGGGCATCGCTGAGAGCAGGACCTTGCCCGGAGCCCAGGGACCTCTGAGCCGGGCTGAGCGGGGCCTCCCTGGGCCCAGGAGTAGTCCTCAGAGCCTCCTCCTCTTGGAGGACAGAAGGAATGGCCTCTAGGAGCCAGAGGACCGGCCCCGCTGGCCCAGAGGGCACTTCCGTGCCGGCGAGGCTGCACCCCGCTCGGCAAGGACGCAGCGCCCCTGGTCCCCTGGCCCTCGACCTCCCAGCCGCTGCGAGCAATCCTCAGGCCTCCTGCCCCCGGGGCCCACCGTAGAGCGAGTTGACGATGGTGAAGAGGAAGAGCTGGGGCAGCAGGAAGAGGCCAAAGGAGAAGAAAGCCAAGGACCAGGTGGTGCCCAGCAGCACGGTGAGGCCCAGCACGGTGACGGCGTCCCTGCAGGCCCGGCCGCTCAGTGTCCTGTTCTGTGCCCACAGCCTGCGCAGGGCCCACAGCGCCCAGGCCAGCACCGCCAGGTTGAACAGGGACGTGACGCCGCTGTAGCCCATGACCAGGACCTGGTGCACCACGGGGCTGCACAGCCAGCACCTGCGGGGGACAGCGAAGCACCAGGTCAGCCAGCTCCGAGCCCAGGGAGGCCGGCTGCCTCTGGATGTCCCCTCGTCTTGCGGCCCAGACGACTGTTTCCTTCTTTTCTCCCTTTCCCCTCTGCCCCCCCCCCACCCTGGCCCTAGGTCCCCTGAGCCCTTCCTGTCTTTCCTGGCCAGAGGTGCCGCCTCTTACCCAACCTGAGCGCTGGGCGGCTGCCTGGCGTGGACGGTGCTGCGCGGTTCTCATGACCCACACGGCGGGCACTATCCCTCCCCACCCTGAGGACGAGGAAACCGAGGCTCCGGCTCAGGAGCCTCCAGTCCTGCTGGAGTCGACCCACACACTAGTCAGGGGCAGAGGTGGGACTTGAAGTCCCTTGGTCTGAGCCCAGACCCTGTGCCCCTGTCACGGTCACCTGCTCAGGGACCCCAGGGGCTCCTGCTGCTGCAGCCACTGTCCTGGCAACAGCGCTGGGGTTCATGTCACTGCTAGGTGATGCACCAGCAGCAACAGCCCCTTCACCCTCTTAATCCCGTCAGCGGACATTTGGGTGGTGTTCCAGGGTGACGTGAGGAATGCGAGGGTATTAACGACGGTTAAGAGGTGAAAGAGGGTCACAGAAGCCAGAGTTATGGCTTCGGGAGGTGGAGGGAGGGGAGGGAAAACACAGGGAAGCTAGTGCCTCGCCTAGGGTCCCTAACGTCCCTGTCATGCGTCACTTCAACTCTTCGGTCCATATCACATAGTATATAGTAAAACACACCTTTGACGAGGGTGAGTCACACCTCCTTGGAGACACAACCCGACCTCCAGAGAGAAAGCGGCCCCTCCCCTCACCCAGCTCTGAGCCCACAGGGACAGTGGGATGAGACGGGCCTGGTGGTTGGGGCTCGCTGGCTGCAAGGTCCAGCTCTGCCACTGCCTGCCTGGGTCTCCTGGGCAGGGTTCCAGGGCTTCTGTGCCTCGCTGTCCTAACTATACAGCAGGCTTGACGTCGCAGGTTCCAGGAGGAGGCAGCAGACTGTCCCTGGGCCCCCAAGGGCCTTGCCTCCCGTCCAGCCCCAAGGACACTGAGCCCCATGCCTGCCCTGCCCTCCCCAGGTCCACGCACTCTCTTCTCAAGACAGGGGGTCTGTGGGGCCTGGCAAGGTCGTGCCCTGGAGCAAGTCAGGAGGAGACAGAGTTGGACCAGTGAAGCACGGGGCTGAGCAGGATGGTCAGGAGCAGGCTGTGCTGGACAGTCCACTGGGAGCTGCAGGCCAAGGCTGGGCCCAACAGGCAGGCTCCACTGCCGGCCTTGGGGGCTAAGCGGGCAGTGCCCTCTGACCCACGGCTTCCTGGCGTCAGCTGGCGCAGCTGCCCTGCAGGAGACTGCCACACCGGGAGGAGGAGTGTGGCGCCCCCCCACCTCCCCGTCTGAGCTACCTCCTCGCCCTCCAGCCAGGCCTGACCTGCAGGACACCCGTCTAGAGCCCCAGGCCCACGGGGCGCTCTGCCAGCGCCGGGCACTCACATGGACGTGTTCCCGATGATCGTGCCATTTTCCAGGCTCCTGGAGATGGGAATCACGCGGGGCCCGTACACGGAGCTCTCGACGGCCAGGAGAAGCAGCACCAGGAGGGCAGGGACCCCTGAGAGTGGGACAAAGGCTCAGGAGGCCCAAAGGGCTGACCCTCATCTCTGGGCCCGCTAACAGGGAACCCCACTGGGCAGGGGAGGGGAGGGGCCGAGCTGAGCTCCAGCCTCTGAGCACTGAGCCTGCGCTCCCGGAAGAGGCTCTTCATGAGGGATGGCTCTAGGACAGAACAGGAGGGGCAGCAGAGGGGACCACCCGGGGAAGAAGGGGTGAGGAGCAAATGGGAGAGAGGGGTGAGGAAGTAGACATAATTGAAAAAGGGGGAAGGTGGTAATGGAGGCACCGATGATGGAAGGAAGGAAGTGGTGAGGATGAGGATGATGGTGACGATGGAGGGATGGTGGGAGGTAGTGGAAACGGTGGGCAGGGGATGGTGGTGATGGAGGTGGGAGCAAGGGAGGGATGGAGGTGAGAGTATGGAGCTGATGGTGGTGAATGGTGAACTGGAAGTGGAGGTGGAGGTGATGATGGTAGTGGGAGGAAGTAATGGGGTTGATGGTGGGATTGGAGGTGGGTGATGGAGCTGATGGAGGTGGTGATGTGGTGGTAGTAGTAATGGTGGCCAGAGGTAGAGGTGGTGATGGTGGTGCTGGAGGTGGAGGTGGTACAGCTAATGGTGGTGGAGATGGTGGTGGAGATGGTGGTGATGATGGTGGTGATGGAGGTGGAGCTGGAGGTGGTGATGTGGTGGTAGTAATGGTGGTTGGAGGTAGAGGTGGTGAGGGTGGTGGTGGAGGTGATGGTGATGGTGTTGGTGGAGGTGGTAGAGCTGATGGTGATGGTGATGGTGGAGATGGTATTGGAGGTGATGGAGGTGGAGCTGTGTTGGTAGTTATGGTGGGCTGGAGGGGAGTTGGTGGGGCTGACAGTGGTGGTGATGGTGGTGGTGGAGGTGATGGTGATGGTGGAGGTAGAGGTGGTGATGGTGATGTTGGAGTTGGAGGTGGTAGAGCTGATGGTGATAGTGATGGTGGAGATGGTGATGGTGATGGTGGAGATGATGGTGGAGGTGATAATGGTGATGGAGGTGGAGCTGGAGGTGGTGATGTGGTGTAGTTATGGTGGGCTGGAGGGGGGTTGGTGGGGCTGATAGTGGTGGTGGAGGTGATGGTGATGGTGATGGTGTTGGAAGTGGAAGTGGAGGTGGTAATTGTGGAGCTGGAGGTGATGTGGTGGTGGTAGTAATGATGGTTGAAATGGAGTTGGTGGGGATGATGGTGGTGGTGATGGTTGTGTTGGAAGTGATGATGGTGATGGTGATGGAGATAGAGGTGGTGATGGTTATGGTGATGGTAATGGTGGGTTAAAGGGGGTTTGGAGCTGATGGATGTGGTGATGGTGTGTTGGAGGTGAAGCTGGAGGTGGTGATGTGGTGGTAGCAGAAATGGTGGGTTGAAGATAGAGGTGAGAGTGCTGATGGAGGTGGTGATGGGGGTAAAGGTGGTGGTGGTGATGGTGGCAGAGATGGTGCTGGTGGAGCTGGAGGAGGTGATGTGGTGGTAGTAGTAATGGTGGGTTGAAGGTAGAGGTGATAGTGGTGATGGAAATGGTACTGGTGGAGCTGGAGGAGGTGATGAGGAGGTAGTAATGGTGGTGATCCTGGTGTTGGTGGGGCTGATGGTGGTGGTGGAGGTGGTGATGGAGGAGCTGGAGGAGGTGATGTGGAGGTAGTAATGGTGGTTGGAGCGGTTGGTGGGGTGATGGTGGAGGTGGAGGTGCAGATGGTGATAGACAGGCTGCAGTGTGTGTGTTGACAGAGACACGGGGGTGGCAGGGCCGTCACTTGGGCCAGCTGACCCCTAAGTGGGCAGGCGGGCTCACCCCAGCCCAGGGCGCCCAGCTTAAGCGCGTATCTGCGGATGTACACGTTGTAGACGCGGCCGAGGAGAAGGTAGAGGTTGAAGCCCTCGATGGCCATCCAGGTTTGGCAGCTGAGCAGCGCGAAGTGGAGCGTGGCCGCCAGGGCCGAGCACGCGGGCCCAGGCACCGGGGCCACGGCCGCCGTGGCGCTCAGAAGGAAGGCCACGTTCAGGAGCAGCACGGAGCCGTGCAGGTTCATGTGGATGTGCGTGACGGCGTCACTGAGCTTCCTGGGGTGGGAGCACGGCGGGATGTCACCGGGCAGCGCCACCCGCTGGGCGGCACAGTGACCCCACTGCGTGCGCTGTGACCCCTGCCTCCTGGCCCCGCCCTGGGAGACCCGGTGGGGACCAGGAGGAGGGCGAGCAGACGGACGGGGCGCGGAGGCAGGGGCATACCTGGCATAGAGGTGCAGCGCGATGGTGAGCAGCGAGGCCACCACGGAGATGCTGCAGCCCACGAGGGACAGGTACTCAAGGGGGGCCTGCAGCTCCTCGGGGAGCGGGGCCGGCGAGAGTTGCTGCGGGAGGGAGGGGGCCAGAGCCAGAGCGTGGACATGCCCTCCTCGTGGACATGCCCTCCCCGGCCCTGGACGGAGGGTCCCTTCCCCGCAAGCCCAGCCTCCCTGGCAGATGTAGCGACTTTCCCCCAGAAAGTCCCCCCCCCATGCAAATGCCCCTCCCCCATTCTCTGGGCCCCCGGTGGGAAGGGGCCCCACTTCTCCCACCCCGTGTATGGACGGGCTACCAGGCCTGGCCTATCGGAGCCTTCCTCCTCCTGCCCATAGCAATTGGCTCAAGGGATGAGCACATGATACACATCAAGCCACAGGACTCAGTCCCAAGACTAGCTGGCAGAATTGGGTAAGAAAGGCTTTTATTCCACTGGCCTGAAAGCTCCCAGGGCATGAGCCTGGAATTGCTGGCAGTCATATTATCCAGTGGGCAGACCCTGTTGGAGGGCCAAGCCAGCACGGATCAAACACAGTTGAAGAACAGAGAGAGAATCCTGTCTCAGTGCTATTCAGTTCCTGGACCAAGCCATGCCTGAAGCTGCCATAGCCCAACCTTTTCAGGAACATGAGCCCCTAAGTTTCCTTGTGTGTGTGTGTGTGTGGTTTAAGCCCACTTGAGTTGGATTTTCTCCCCCTTATACCAGCTTTTGCCTTGCCCCTCTGCCAGGGACACGGAGCCCTGTGTGGCTCTGACTCCCTCGCCCAGCCTGGAAGCACACGTACCATGAGAACAGCAAAGTAGGTGAGGTGGTTGCAGTGGCAGAGCACTTGGGAGGCGGAGGGCTGCTCTGTGCGGCAGCCCTCGGGGCTCCAGGCCCCCCAGCGGTGCTTGCTGGCTCCCCTCTTCCAGAAGACACAGGTCAGCGTGTAGCCTTCCTGAGGGGAGATGCTGGTTCAGTCCCGGGGGAGCAGGGAGGGGCCAGACTTCAGGGTCTGAGCGTCCCGGGGGCAAAGCAGGCTCCGCTGCCTCCCTCCAACACGTATGGGGCACGGGCTGAGCTTGGGCATCGGACAGTCCCAGACGCCCACCAGGGACTCTCAGAGGGACCTGGGCAAGACGCTAGGCTTCTCTGAGCCTCAGTCTGCTTGTCTGCAAAGTGGGGTCGTTCATGCCCTGGTTACGCGGGAGGCTGGTGCAAAATGAAAGTCCCCGGGGCCTCCTGAGGCCCAGCGCTGGCCTCTGGCATGGTAGGTGCTCTATAGCCAGCGGTCCCCCTTCTCCCACTGGTGAGGGCCACGGATGATCCAGACCTAGGCCCAGAGGGGGAGAGACTCATTCCAGCCACACTGGGCAGTGCCTTGGAGTCCGCAGAGGAAGGGCCAGAGGCGGGGCACCGAGGCCTCCACCCCGATTTCCAGGACACTGGAGGTAGGGCGTTTGCTCCAGGGGGAGGGAACTGCCCGGAGCAGGGAAGGAAGGTCCAGGGCAGTTCTGGTGAAGCTGCAGGGACATGGAGCCAGAGGACAGGGCTCTGAGCTTTTCAGCAAAGACAGGGACAGGGAAACAGGGCACTGGGCTGTGTCCACCTGGCAGCCCTTCCCCCTATTCCACTACGAGGGTTTTCACTCCTCCACCCCCGTGACCCAGGTGGGGCCAATCCACACGTTCCATCCCCCTGGGCACAGAGACCGGTTCAGGGATGGACACATGAGCCAGCTGAGCCTTTAGGACCCTGGATCCTGATTTGCACTGGTGAGGTAGACCCCCTGGAAAGAGGGAAAGGAAGCCTGCCTGATTAGCACCCATCTCGCCAAGGCAGGAAACAATTGCTGGGAGATGGAGAGAGACTGACCCATAATAGTACTGTGTCAGTCCCTGGATCCAGCCATGTCTGAAGGTGGATCACCCCTGGACATGTCATTGACGTGAGCCAAGAATTCCCTTTTGTGCTTAAGCGGGCTTGAGGTGGTCTTCTATCATTAGCAACAGAAAGAATCCTGAAGAATGCAATGAGTGAACGTTTCTCATCTCCTTAGTAGGAATTTTCAGAATGTGACGGCTCCTCAGGTCTGAGTTTGGTCAAACCAGTGTTCAACCGGAGACCCACAGAGGGGCAGGGGTGGGGTGGCAGAAAGGGGGGTACTCCAACAGTACCAAGCTTTGGTTGTGCCAGAAGCTGATGTTGACTGGCTCTGTGAGGTTGTCCACGTGGCTGCGGTCCAGCTGGGCCCCCAGGACGTAGTTGTTGAGCAGGGATGAGTTGCTTTCATCCTGGAAGGACAGCGGACCAAGGGCTGAGGGCCCGGGGAGACCAGAGCCCTCTTTCCCAGCCCCTCCTCCCACCACCTGGGGCTATCCTCGCACCCACCACCAGGGGGCGCGCTGCCCATTTGTTTGATGCATTCCACCCTCCAGCCCTCACCTCACACCTATCCTCAATTTCAAAGCCAAGGTTGAGTGGCACCTTCTCTAGATTTCCCTGGCACTGTCCCTTGGGGACACCCTGCCCCCACCCTCATTCATCCGCCATTTTGTGGTTGTCTTCAACCTCACGCTAACTTTAAATCCCTAAGATCTTTTTTTTTTGTGAGGTGGGTGGTGGGGTATGGGATTGAACTCAGGGGCACTTGACCTTGAGCCACATCCCAGCCCTATTTTGTATTTAGAGACAGGGTCTCACTTCGTTGCTAAACAGCTCGCTTTGGCTAAGGCTGGTTTTCACTCGCGATCCTCCTGCCTCAGCCTCCTTGGCCACTGGGATTACAGGTGTGCGCCACTGCACCCAGCAAATCCCCAAGTCCAGGTGTGGAGACAGGGTTCCCTAGGGCGGGGACCTTGTGCCTCGGTGTCTGTCTCTCACACAGGCGCACACCTGCGAGCCTTCTTAGGTTTAGTTTGCAGATTGTGAGGGCACCTCCCTACAGCTTGTTGGGAAACTGAGGCCCGGTAAGGGCCTACGGCAGGCCAAGGTTGCACAGTGGGCTGGTCCCCACTCAGAGGCCAGCAGTGGCCTGCAGTGTCCCCAGGAAGGGGCCGGCACCTGCCCTCCTCCACCCACCACCTGCTGACCTGGAAGAAGTAGGTGGTGAAGAAGTAGACGCAGATGAGCCGCAGCTCCCGGGGCCGGGCCGCGCAGGCCTCTCGGGTCAGCTCTGCGGGGAACTGCATGGCGTGCGGGACCCGGGCCTGCGGAGGGCCAACACAGGCTGAGCCCGGTGTCCAGGGCCTGCGGGCGGGCCTGGCCCCAGTGCCTTTGCTGACCCACTCCCCACCAAACCTTCCGGGCCTCACCCTCTGCAGTTCCTTCCTGGGGGCTTGGCAGAGCCTTGGACTGCCCCTCCCCCGGCCCCAGGGCCCAGCGTCCATCAGGGGCTCCAGCCTCGAGCTTGGGTTCTGGACCCCACCCAACTGAGGTCCCTGAGCACGGAGCCGGGTCAGCACCGGTACCAACCAGGCATCCAGCCAGGATCACGCAGGTACTAGCGGAGCCAGGTTCCCTGGCCTCTCCCAATGCTGCCACCCGAGGGACACACCTCCATCTGACTTGGGACAAAGGGGGACGAAGACACCGTCCTTCAGGGGCCATGGGCGCCTCCCTCCTGCTGTTCCCACGCTCCCAGTTTACAGAGGAGGCAGCTTCAGCCACTCGGGGCGGCGCCTGGGCTGGGGCCAGGCCGCGGAGCCTGGGGACAGTGCGGACCTTCACCTCCCACAGGACATGGGGCCACCCCTTCTCCCGGCCACCTCTGACCTGCGGGACCTGCTCCAGAGTGTGGCTGCTCAGTGCCAGGCCAGCGAAGTCGCAGCCCAGCTTGAAGATGAGAGACTGGATGGTGCGCGTCTCCAGGGTCAGTTTGTCCCCGTAGAAGCTGGCGTTCAGCAGCCTCTGCTCCAGGCCCTCCACCTGCCTGAGGGCCCGACACGCGGCCAAGGGGCAAAAGAGAGCTGTGGGTGGCCTGCGCGTGCAGGGTCTCCCGTGCCCCAGCCTGTCACTCTCACTCCAGACCATTGCAGGGTCCCTATCACACCCTGACCTTGGCTTCCCACCCATCTCCTTCTCCCACTTGACTCCTCTTCAGGTCCCAGTTTGCTGTCACCACCTCCAGGAAGCCTTCCCTGACTGCTCCCCCTAAGGAGAGACGTATCTCTGTGCTTCCTAGTGGCAGCTCTTAGCCCGAGTGGGTCACCAGCATTGACCTCTCACCCAGAGCTGCTTGGTCACTGAGTTACAGACCGTGGAGGCTCCAGCCACAGTCCTAGAGTCCCTGCCTAGGAAAAGGCAGAGACCCACTTGGTTTTATGACATCGATGGTTAAGGGCTCCTGTCCTAGACAAAACACTCCAGGAGGGCAGGGACATGACTTTTTTCCATTTCCATAACCTAGCCTCAGGCACACAGTGGTTTCTCAATAAACACAACCTGACCAATGCAGTTAAGAGTCTACCCTGGGCTGGCACCGCAGTAGACTGGCACCGTGGTAGGCTGGCACCGCTGGCATGCCAATAATTCCAGCAACTCAGGAGGCTGAGGCAGGAGGATTGCAAATTTAAGGCTAGTCACAGCAACTTGGCAAGGCCCCGTCCCGATGTTGCTCAGTGATACGGGATTTGTCTAGCTTGTGCAAGGCCCCGGATTCAATACTCAGCACCACAAGAAAAGAAAGAAGGAGAGAGTCTGCACGGGACCAGGCCTGGGGCACTAATTCGGGGTACAGTTGGGGCAGGAGCACAGTTGACCGAGAGGTTCAGCTGGACACCACTCACCGAGCAGGAGAAGTCAGCTTCCGGCCCTTGGCCTGCTCCATGTTCTGCATCCAGCTCAGGAGTTCTTGCGCTGTCTCTGTGGGGGGCAGGACCGTCCTCCCCCTCAGCCTGCACCCTCAGCTGCCCGATGGCCCACGGCCTCTGGACCTGCCATCCCCAGCCGGAGACTCGTCCATGCTGCTGCCCCCAGGAGGACTAGTGGCCCCCTTTCCATCTGCCTGGGTTCGAGGCCTCGGCCTTCCACAGCCCAGCCCTGGGCCTCCATGGGGTCTGACCCCGGCCAGCGGAGCCTTCTTACCTGCGATCCTGCCCTGAGAAATCAGAAAGCACATGCAGACGAAAAGGGTTCTGCAGCCATCCATGCCCTGTGGCCAGGTCTCTCCAGAAGTAGCTCCTGCCCTGGGAAACGTGCACCTTCAGTGTGGTCACAGAGCCACCTCTGACTTCCTCCAGGAGCTGGCATGTCCCGCGGTTGGGACCTGCAGCCTCTTCTTAGCTCCTCACTACGCCTGCGTTTCAGATGAGGAGGCTGAGGCTAGGAGGACTGGGTCTCGCTTTGCTTGAAGGTGCCTGAAGCCGGGTCTCTGTGACTCCAGAATGTTTGATCACTGGGTAACAGCTGCCATCCACAGCTCCGCCTAAGACACCCTCCCATAAAGAGGACTCTCTGGGGACTCCATAGAGCCCCCCACCTCATCCAGGGGGGAACTGGGAACAAGCAACATCTGAGTCAGTCCCTCCCTGACATTAACCTGCCCTGGGTCAGGATCTTCTAACAGGAACCAAGAAACTGCTTAAACTGACTGTTCCTAGGAGAGTATCCTAAGGCCACCAGCATTCGGTGTTCCTCAATGAAATGGCCAAGATCTAACTGATGGGAAAGCTCTCCCGGTCCCCAAGCCCAGACAAGCAATGGAGTTTTTAGTGCTCCACTCTTAAATGTAAATCGTCCCAACAAGGATTACTGGAGATTTCAACACAGGCGCCCTTTCTCAGAAAGCTGCTGGAGGATGCACCCCAACCAAATGAGGAAGCAAACCACGAAAGAACACACGATGTACAGGAATCCCCACCGCAGGACAGGTGAAGCTGCTCCCCAGAAACTGTGCCAAGAGGCTGCTGGTTAAGAACAGGATGGACGGAGTGGCTGGGGTTGTGGCTCTGCGGTAGAGAGCTCCCTAGCACATACAAGGCCCTGGGTTCAATCGGGGCACACCCCGACCCGAGGGGCAGGGGAAAAGAAGGCTCCAGAAGGGATTCCTCCAAGGACTAAGATTTACTTAGTCGTCATAGCAACACTGAACAAGAAGGTTGTTTCTCCTTGTGTAAAAGGCATATTAAAATGATTTCCACTTCCACTTTGGATGCAGAGAGCCACGAGAGAATGTCACTCCAGCGGGACCGAGGAAAAAAGCCGAACGATTTACTGATCCATTGTTGAGCCCTTCGAGGGCTGAGGTCCAAGGCAACCCACCGAGCTGGTTTCTGAGAGTATTTGGAACACAGGTTCAAGGTGGTGCCCGGGTGCCATGGAGAGGAACTCTTTCCCCTTTCTGCACTCTGCGGAGAAAGCACAGTTGCCCGAGAGGAGACCAGAAGAAAACAATCCAGGTCTGGAAGAATTTTTTTTTTCCCCCAGAACTGGGGATTGAACCCAGGGATGCTGTATGTCCCCAGCCCTTTTTATTTTTATTATTTTTTAATTTTATTATTTTTATTTTTATTATTTTTTGGTTCTGGGAATGAAGCCAGGGGCACTCAACCATTGAGCCACCTCCCCAGCCCTTTTTAAATTTTATTTAGAGACAGGGTCTCACTGAGTTGCTTAGGGCCTCTGTTAAAATTGCTGAGGCTGGCTTTGATCTCGCAACCCTCCTGCCTCAGCCCCCCGAGCTGCTGGGCCTTTTATTTTTTTAATTTGAGACAAGAGTCTGGCTAAGTGGCCCAGGCTGGCCTCGACCTTGCTATCCTCCGGTCTCACTCTTAACGAATTCTTCATGGCTAGAGTGGCAGCTTAGCATCCCCAGAGATCCAGATTTCAAAGGAGTTCAGGGCTGGGGCTGTAGCTCAGTGGCAGAGCACTTGCCTAGCACGTGAGGCACTGGGTTCGATCCTCAGCACCACATAAAAATAAAATAAAGGCTTGCTGTCCATCTACAACTACCAAAAAAAACCTAGTTATACATTTAATAAACACATACATACATAAATAAAAGAAGTCCAGACCTCTGACAGTCCCTCCCTCAGTCCTCCATGGGAGCTGATGAGACTGATTGGAAGGGGCAGGGCCTGAGAGAGGCCCCATGGTGACAAGGACATGCAGGACCTGCCAAGGACCCCGGGGGGTGCAGCAGTGTGGGGACAGGCCCTCCTGAGCTCTGGGTCTGCAGAGTTCAAGGTGGTGCGGGTGCCCTGGGGACGCCTGGCTCTCCTGGGAGACTCCACACCGGGTCCCTGACCTGCTCCAGGCGGTTCTGACCCTTCTCCGGCGAGAACAGAAGCCGCCCCGCCCCCACCCTGCAAGACGGTGAGAGCCTCTGGACACTGGCCGGAGCAGGACAGCCGTGGAGCGGGACAGCCCAGCCGGGGTGTGTGGGGGGGTGCCGGCATCCTGACAGGAAGGGGCGGGAGCAGCCCCCAGCTGCTCAGGACCTCCCCCCCCCCTCAGGCCCAGGTGGCTCCTGGGGTGGGGGACAGGAAGTCGGCCTGCACTCCCGCACCTGCACTGAGTGTGGAGAAAAACAGGAACACTGGCCAGTCCCCCTCCTGGGCTCTCGTCTGAATGTCTAAGACCGAAAGTAGAGCAGCAGAACAAGAAGCCGCCGCCCCACCACAGAACTTGCACCAGGGGACCAGCAACCGCAGACGGAGCTGGGGAAGGAGCTAGAACCCGGACGGAGAGCCCGTCGGTGTCACATTGTGCAAGCTGAGCACCAAACAGGGACACTGAGAAAATCCCCGGGGACTCAAGGCCAGTGCTCAGCACAAAGTAACCGCCTTGGTGCGCAGACGGTAACTATGGCAACGAAAAACCTGAATCAACCACAGACTGCATCAACTCAATGCCCTCTACCAAAGCCACAGATACAAAATATGCCCATTTCTAGGAATAAATATGGTTTGACTCACCCACTACTGTCCTCTTATGCACAGTGCCTGGAGGTCTGTCAGGGACTCTGTGGCACATAATAAAACCAAGTAAAAGAAGAGGCCTGGGCTAGCCAGGTGCAGGGCACCCAGCTGTAATCCCAGCTACTGGAGAGGCTGAGACAGGAGGATCGCCCAAGGCCAGCCTGGGCAACTGGGAGAGATCCTGTCTCAAATAAATAAGGGCAGTGGTGGAACATCCCTGCATTCAGCCCCTAACTCCACTTAAAATAAATAAATAAATAAAAAGGGACCCAGGACTGGGGAGGTAACTCAGTGGTAGAGTGGTTGCTGGCTTAGGCCCTGGTTTCAATCTGCAGCATGAAAAGAAGAAAGAAAGGAATGAAGGAGGGAAAAGGGGGAGGGAGGGAAGGAAGGAAGAAAAAGAAAAGAAAAGAAAGAAAGAAAGAGAGAGAGAAAGAGGGAGGGAGGGAGGGAGGGAGGGAGGGAGGGAAAGGAAAGGAAGCCATTATTGAGACATAAAAGATGTAGTGAGAAAAATGAATTCCAAGAACATATGAGAAATTGTAGGAGGCAACAGAAACTACTAAAGATGGCCAAGTAGAAGTGATGGAAATGAAAACTCCATATCAGCAATGAAGAAATCTTTCAATGGATTTATCAGCAAACCAGACCCAGCCAAGTAAAGCTCAGTAAACCTGAAGAGCAATATAGATTAACCTGGTTGAAACATTGTATTATTCAGCCTCCCAATACTGTAACAAAATACCTGAGATAAAAACTTATGAAGAGAAAAAGGTTACCTTTGACTCACAGTTTTAGAAGTTAAAAAATCAGAATTAGAAGACATGATGCATTGACTCCATTACTTTGGGCCTGTGGCAAAGCAGCACATCATGGTAGGTGGACGTGACAAGCAAAACTGCTTACATCATGAGTCAGAGATCAAAGAGAAAAAAGAAAGGAGGAAAGGATCAAATCCCATAGTCTCCCCTGAGTAGACCCCACCTCTCAAATTTCCATCACCTCCCGGAGCATCACCCTGGATAGAAAGCCCTTAACACAGGGGCTTTGCAGGGGACTTTCAACATGTAAACTGTAACAGACATGAAGAGCAAGAGTGAAAATTAAATACTGACAAAAGTCAATATTCCAATATGTACGTCATTGGAGTCTTGGGAGTAGAGAGGGCAGAGAAGATACAGAAATAGAAACAGAAAAACAATAGAAAAACAACAGAAATAAAAGAGTGACATTGAAGAGATAATGGCTAAAACTTTTCCTAAATTATTAAAAGAATAGACTATAGATCCAAGGAGCTCTACCAAACCCAGAAGGATGCATCTAAATAAAACACACCCTGTCCCATCATGGACGTGTGGCCGCAAAAGCAAAAAGAAAGAAAATCTTGAAGGGCGTCCGGAGAACAAGAACCAGGTGGACCAGGATAAACAGTAAGGATGAGGAAAGACTTCTGATCAAAAACTATACGAGCCAGAAGAAAATACAGCATCTCTCTCAAGAAAAACCCATCAGCTTAAAATTTATGCACAGTGAACATATCTTTTAAAAATGAAAGCCAAATAAGAACTTTTTCAGAGGAGCCAGGACTTGGAGAATTCATGGCCAACAAACTTGAACTGAGAGAAATTTCAAAGGAAGTTCCTAGGGTAGAAGGTAAATTATACCAGATGGAAATCTGGACCTGTACAAGGAGATGAAAAGTGTTGGATTTGGTAAAAATGTGTTAAATATGAAATAAAATAAAACCCCTTAATTTTTATATCTGTAATAGTGCAGGCATATTGTGGGAATCGTAATAATGTGGAAGAAAAATGGCACAAATGGCAAAAGTGTGAACATGGAATATTCTGTTGTCAGATTCTTATGCTGTATGTTAAGTGTTGCAAGGTTATTTGAAGGCCAATAGTGGAAGGTTAAATTTGTAGACAGTAAACCCCAGAGCAACCCTTAGAAAAAGAAAACAGATAAGATGATAAGACAATCATAGAAATAAAATCATTTAATTTTTCTACATTCGTCTATGTATATGCCCATCTTTTACCCCGCACAAAAGTCAACTCAAAGTGCATCGAAGACCTAAGAAATAGACCAGAAACTTAGCAACTTCTAGAAGAAAACACAGGCTCCACTCTCAAACATATTGATGCCGGCAGTGACTTCCTTAACAAGATCTCTAAAGCTCAGGACACAATGCCAAGAGTTGACAAATTGGATGGCATCAAGTTAAAAAGCTTCTGCACAGCAAAGGAAACCGGAGAATGAAGAGAGAGCGCACAGGATGGAAGAAGATCTTTGCCATCTGCTCCTCTGACAGAGGATTAATGTCCAGAACACACAAAGCACTCAGAAAAACTTAACACCAAAAACACAAGTAACCCAGTCAATCAATGGGCAAAAAGAACTAAATGGGCATTTAAATACTCCCTCTAAAATAAGACAGGGCAAGAAGAAAATGGAACCAAGAATAGGCAGGACAGGAGAAAATAAATAGCAAGATGGTAGGTTAAAACACAGTCATAGAGACAATTACACTAAATATAAACGGACCAAGGCAGGTGCAGTGGCACACGCCTATAATCCCAGTGACTCAGGAGGCTAAGGCTGGAGGATCATCACAAGCTCAAGGCCAACCTCAGCAATTTAACAAGACCATGTCTCAAAAAGTAAAAAGGACTAGGAATATTCAGGGGTCTACCATCCCTGGGTTCAATTTCCAGTTCAAAAAATTATACACACACACACACACACACACACATATATATATAATTTAAAAATAAATGAACCAAATGCTCTGGTTAAAAGGAAGATTATCAGCCTGGATTTTGAAAGCCAAAACCAAGGTTTACTATTTATGAGAAAGACATATTAAATATAAAGATACCAATAAATTCAATGTAAAACGGTGGAACCAGATACAGCAATAATAATTAAAATGGAATAGTTAGATTAATATCCAAAAAAGTAAAACTTAGAAATATTATTGGGGATAAAGATTCTACAGGACCAGAGCCAGGAGCTGTGGCACGTGCCTGTAATCCCAGTTACTCAGATGACTGTGGAAGGAGAACCACAAATTTGAGGCCAGCCTCAGCAACTTAGTGAGACTCACTCTCAAAATTTTTTTTTAAAAAAAGGGCGGGGGCCGGTGTGGGCTGTGGGCATTACCCACCCAGTACCCAAAATTAAAAACTAAAGATTATATAAGGCTAAAGGCATAAATTCATCCAAAAAATCTTAAATATGTATGCACCTGATCATAGAGCTTCAAAGTGGATAGCACTGAAAGCAGAAACACACCAATCAGCAACTATAATTGCAGGGTGTAATATTTCTTTCTCTGGACCTGACAGAACAAGTAGATATAAAATCAAAACTAGAAGACATAAGCAACACTGTCAATCAACTTAATCTTATCGGTGTTTATAGAACACTCTACCCAACAACCTCAAAGTTCACATTCTTCTCAGGTATTCATACAACATTCACAAAGACAGATCGTACACTTGGCTATAAAATAAACCTGTATTTAACAGGACTAAAAT